CAAAAAAAAGAAAGAAGGTTCCACTCCTTTTTTTAAAAATAAAGGAAGGACTAGGCACAGAGGCTCATACCTGCAATCATAGTACTATGGGAGGCCAAGGCAAGAGGATTGCTTGAGGCCAGATGTTTGAGACCAGCCTGAGCAAAAGCAGCACCCCATTTCTACAAAAAAAAGAAAAATTAGCTATATGGAGTAGCCCACACTTATCATCCGTATAATCCTCAGCTACTTGGGAGGCTGAGGGAGACGATAGCTTGAGCCTAGGAGTTTGAGGTTGCAGTGAGGAGAGGTAGAGTCTCGCTCTGTTGCCATTGTACTCTAGCCAAGGTGACAGAGCAAGACTCTATCTCCAGTACCTACCTACGTACATAAAAATAAAGTAGGCTTGGTGTCTGCAGCTCTGTGGCTAGGGTGCCAGCCACATACACCGGGACTGGCAGGTTTGAACCCAGCCCAGGCCTGCCAAACAACAGTGACAACTAAAACAATAAATAAATAAATAAAATAACATTTTAAAATAAGGGAGAAACATCAGAACCACCAGAAGTTTGCCATGGTTGACCGATAAGACAGAATAGATAGGAAACTTAGTGCACAAGGCGTGGTGGCTCACGCTTGTAATCCTAGCCCACCAAGACCAAGGTCGTGGATTGCCTGAGCTTCCCAGTGTGAAACCACCCTGAGCCAGACTGAGACTTCATCTCTAAAAATAGCTGGGCATTGTGGTGGGCCCCAGTAGTCCCAGCTACTCAGGAGGCTGAGGCAAGAGAATTGCTTAGAAATACTGAGGAGTTTTTATTTTTGTTTTGAAACAGTATTACTATGTCGCCTTCAGTAGAGTGCAGTGGCATCACAGCTCACAGCAACCTCCAACTCTTGGGCTAAAGTGATTCTCTTTCCTCAGTCTCCCAAGTAGCTGGGACTACAGGCATCCGCCACAATGCCCGGCTATTTTTTTGGTTGCAGTTGTTATTGTTGTTTAGCAGGCCTGGGCTGGGCTGGAACCCGCCAGCCTCCGTATATGTGACTGGCGCCCTACTCACTGAGCTAGGGCACCAAGCTGAAACTAGAAGTACTAACTAGTGAAGTCAAAGAGTTTAATGTGAGATCAATTTAAATTGAACATAATAGATCAGTGAAGAAGAAGCAGAGATTTCTTCAAAAAAGTTTCCTGGGATAACCTATTTCTGGTGTGAGTTTTTTCAGGAACTCCCAGACCATTTTTGGTGGCTACATCATTTTCTGTTTCCCCAGCAACATATGAGGGTTCCATTTCTTCCATACTCTGGCCAAAACTTGTTATTGTCTTATCTTTGTAATTAATAATCATCCCAGTAGGTGTAAAGTATTTTTGATTTGCATTTGAATGGATTTTTGTTTGTATGTTTTTTATTTGGAGGCAGAGTCTCACTCTGTTGCCCTGTGATTAGTGTGGTGTTATCATAGCTCACAGCAACCTCCCAACTCTTGAGCTCTGGAAATCCTCATGCCCCACCTTCCCAAGTAGGTGAGACTACAGGTGCTTGCACAATACCCAGCTAATTTTTCATTTCTTTTTCTTTTTCTTTTTTTTTTTTGGAGACAGAGTCTCAAGCTGTTACCCTGGGTAGAGTGCTGTGGCTTCACAGCAACCTCAAACTCTTGGGCTTAAGCGATTCACTTGCCTCACTCTCCCAAGTAGCTAGGATTACAGGTACCTGCCGCATGCCCAGCTATTTGGAGGGGGGGGGAGTTGCAGTTGTCATTATTGTTTACCTGGTCCGGGCCAGGTTCAAACCTGCCACCCTTGGTGTATGTGGCTGGCGCCATAACCACTGTACTACGGGGTGCAGAGCCCCAGCTAAGTTTTCTTGTTTTGTTTTTTCTTTCTTTTTTTAGTAGACAGAGTGTCTCACTCTTGCTCAGGCTGGTCTCAAACTCCTGAACTCAAGCAATCTGGTGGTCTCGGTCTTCCAGGGTGTGAGGATTACAGGTGTGAGCCATAGTGCCCAGCCATTAGTATATGCTTGATTTGTTTTTAAACAAGTTATTTTTGTGGCTAACTTTTATATTCTCTAACCTTGCTTTCCAATGTAATAGTTACCCTAAAAGTATTTGTTCAAGGGAAACATTAACAGAGTTCTTTTTTTGAGACAGAGCCTCAAGCTGTCCCCCTAGGTAGAGTGCTGTTGCATCACAGCTCACAGCAACCTCCAACTCCTGGGCTCAAGCGAGTCTCCTGCCTCCGCCTCCCAAGTAGCTGGGACCACAGGCGCCTGCCACAACGCCCGGCTATTTTTTTTTTTTTTTTTTTTTGGTTGCAGCCATCATTGTTGTTTGGCAGGCCCAGGCTGGATTCGAACCTGCCACCTTAGGTGTATGTGGCTGGCGCCTTAGCCACTTGAGACACAGTGATTAAAATCTTAGGAAAAGTGGTTATGAAAAAGAAAAAATAGTAAAATAAAATAATGGGGCCGGGTGAGGTGGCTCACACCTGTAATCCTAATACTCTGGGAGGCCAAGGTGGGTAGATTGATTGCTTGAGCTCAGGAGTTCAAGATCAGCCTGAGCAAAAGCCAGACCCTGTCTCTAAAACTAATAGCCAGGCATTGTAGCAGGTGCCTATGGTCCTACCAGGAAGGCTGAGGCAAGAGAATAGCTTGAGCCCAAGAGTTGGAGGTTGCTGTGAGCTATGACACCAAGGCACTCTACCCAGGGTGATAGATTGAGACTGTCTCAAAGAAAAAGTTTTTCTCTTTTTTTTTTTCCCCCAGGTGGTCGGAATCCATATGCAGGGAATTGGATGTGATGAAATGCTGCAGGGTTTTGCTGTTGCAGTGAAAATGGGAGCAACAAAGGCCGACTTTGACAACACAGTTGCCATCCACCCTACCTCTTCAGAAGAGCTGGTCACACTCCGTTAGGAACCTGGAGACTTGGGGGCTGCAGCTGGACTTTAGACCCTCTGAAATGAACCTGTCACATTCACTTTCTGTTCCAGTTTTACATACTGCTTTATTCTGATCAGGATCTTCTGATAGTGGAAATTTTTACTACATAAATCAGAAATTTGTTGTGTTACCCAGGATTGATTTTCATTTGATCATATCTCACAGTATTTTAAAGTTTTCTTTTCTTTCTTTTTTTTTTTAAAGATAGAGTCTCACTATGTCACCCTTGGTAGGGTACCGTGGCATCACAGCTCACAGCAACGTCAAACTCTTGAGCTCAAGCAATTTTCTTGCCTCAGCCTCCCGAGTAGCTGGAGCTACACGCACCCACCACAATTTCCGGCTATTTTTGGGTTGCAGTTGTTATTGTTGTTCAGCAGGCTGGGCCCAGGCTCGAACCCACCAGCCCTGGTGTATGTGGCCAGCGCCCATGTGTTAGTTTATTTTTTTCCCTGTCTACCTTCATCCCAAATATAAAACCAAGTATAAAACTAAGTGAAGTACAATTAGTTAGGTTAATGTACTTGAATGGATATAGCTTGTTCATTTTTATGAAGAGGAAGCTGATGACAGCTCTTTCTGGTTAAACAATGCAGGTGCACAGAATATGTATAGATTTTTTGAAGCCAGTACTGTGGTCTGCGTATTGGAAAGCTGCTTCCAGGAGGTGACCTTTCTCTAAAAGCATGTAACACAGGAGGCCTGCCTCCTTTATTTTATTCTTTTTCTTTTGTTTTATTAAAAATGGTTTATATTATTTTTATTAGATAATGTATATCAAACTTGGGAAAGACTTGAGGAAGCTGAAGCTGGTTAAATGTGTGAGGGACAGCTTAGAAGAGATTTCTGCTTTCCAAAGGAGGTGGACTCTGATAAGCAAAAGTCTATTTCTCTGCCAAGGGTTTTATATGTCAGTGAATAATGTCAATATCTGTATGCATTCTTGTCATTTTATTTTTTCTGAAAACTTCCAAAAACTTGAAAATAAAATCAGTCTTTATAAAATTTGTTATTTAATTGGTACCAGTTTTTTGTTTTTGTTTGTTTTTTAAGAGTTTGGGGTCTCAGTATGATGTCCAAGCTGGCCTTGGAACTCCTGACCTCAAGCAATCCTCCCACTTCAGCCTCCTGAGTAGCTGGGACTATAGGTATGTACTACCATGCCAGGCAGAGATTTTTCTTTACAAATAAACACCAGTGGTATAAAACAGTGGTTCTCAACCTTCCTAATGCTGCAATGTATTTTCATTTTTACAAAGGGGTCGCAACCCACAGGTTGACAACTGCTGGTATAAAAGAAAGATTTAACAGATTAATGGTTGAGTTGGAAGAATAGCCTAGAAATCATTTGAGTTTTTAGTACCTTATTTCCATTAATTAGCCCATACCAGTTAGGTAGGCTACTTAAATTATTCCTTTGGGCAGGAGTCGGGGTGGGGAGTCTGTCTCTTGCCCAGATGTGAGTGCCATGGCCTCAGCCTCCTAAGTAGCTGTGAGTATGGGCACCCACTAGAATGCCCAGCTAGTTTTTTTTACTATTTTTAGTAGAGATGGAGTCTCACTATGTGGCTTAGGCTGGTCTCAAACTCCTGGATTCAAGGGATCCTTGAATTCAGCCTCCCAGAGTGCTAGGATTGCAGGCAAGAGCCACAGCACCTGGCCCTTTTACTGAAAATCTTTCTGGTTGGCCATGGCCAGTTGTACCAGCTTTTTAAGTAGGCCCAATGCCAGTGAAAGAAAAATATGGATGAGTAAGTTATATATTTGTAGGGTAAGAAATTGGATTTCCAGCTTGGCGCCTGTGGCTCAAGTGGCTAAGGCGCCAGCCACACACACCTAAGGTGGCGGGTTCAAATCCAGCCCGGCCCGCCAAACAACAATGAAGGCCGCAACCAAAAAAAATAGTTGAGGTGTTGTGGTGGGCGCCTATGGTCCCAGCTACTTGGGAGGCAGAGGCAGGAGACTCGCTTGAGCCCAGGAGTTGGAGGTTGCTGTGAGTTGTGATGCCGTGGCACTCTACCCAGGGGACAGCTTGAGGCTCTGTCTCAAAAAAAAAAAAAAGAAATTGGATTTCCAACCTGAGTACAAACTGACATAAGCATTTTCTTCCTCTTCCCCTCTAGCCTAAAGGTATGCCAAGTGTCTGAGCTCCACTGTCCTGGTGGGCGTCTTCATCTGCACAGGTCCTGACCTGTGTGTCTCTATCAGGAAAAGGGAGGCTGCAGTGGTCTTATTCATCCTGACATCCTGCATTCTTGACCCTGTGTATATCTTTTGTGCTGCCTGTGAACTGGTTCAACAACCAACATGAAAGTAACAATTGTGACTGCATTCTCACTGTTCCTCAAACCAGCTCAGTCATTTCGATGATGTGGTCTAACAGCCTATTTACCCCAAGCCAGGGGAGTATAATGACGCATGTTCTGTAAGATGTGGCATGTTGTAGGTGTTCAATGGATATTTATTGAAGGAGAGGCACAATACTTGCTTTCAAGTAACCTTATCTAAAATGAGATAAATCAGGTAACGCCTGTGGCTCATTGGGGAGGGTGCCAGCCCCATATACAGAGGGTGGCAGGTTCAAACCCAGCCCCGGCTAAACTGCAACAACAAAAAATAGCCGGGCATTGTGGTGGGTGCCTGTAGTCCCAGCTACAGGGGCGGCTGAGGCAAGACAAATCGACTAAGCCCAGGAGTTGGAGGTTGCTGTGAGCTGTGATGCCATAGCACTCTACTAAGGGTGATTAAATGAGACACTGTCTCTAAAAAAAAATAAGCAAAATGAGGTAAATCATTTTCATGATAGGGCAAAATTAAGCACAGCATGATGGTATGATTTATTGATTATTAAAATGAGAAACTCAAGAGTGAAAGGGGCACTTTTAATAATTGAGATGATAGGGCAGCGCCTGTGGCTCAAGGAGTAGGGTGCCAGTCCCATATACTGGGAGACTCCATATACTGGAGACGGCAAGTTCAAAAACCCGGCCCCAGCCAAAAAACTGGAAAAAAAAAAAGTGAGACGATAAGGGCTAGGCCCTGTGGTTCACGCCTATAATCCTTGCACTCTGGGAGGCCA